TCAGCTTTCAACTTAAAAGAACCCTAAAGTTCCAGAAGGGAGACCTATTTTCCAATAGATAATCTGAATAACATGACTAATATAACCTGGCCGACTTTGTGCCAAATTTTACTTGAGCGACTTGCGCAGCGCATGATTATAAAGTGATCATTTTCCCAAACTGACACATGGCCATTACTTTTGTACTGTGACACTTCATAAACAATTGGTGATAAGGACAGTCACCAATAATGACAGTTGTTGCATTAAAGCCTATCTTATTTCTCACTTGAAGATACATTTTGTACATCACAGTGCATGTATAGGTTCAACAATTTCAGTAATTTTGCTATTAAATGTAGATTTTTTTGTAGTTTATCATTATACTCCATACTGACCTCTAGTAGGAGGTAACTTATATCCCAGTAAACAACAATTACGATCGTCAAGGTCACACAAGATGACGGCAGTAGCTTCGTTACATGTAACATATCAACTATAAAACATGGCATAGATGTACTGTCCCGAAATTGGTTTTTATTTGTGAAAAACTTGATTTTTTACCGTGTAATAACGGGATTGAAGCCGTGGGTTCACCGTACATGACCGCGGGTGACCCGGGATCGAACGAACGTTCGATTGACGTCATATCGAACATGGTTCGATTCGAATGACGTCATATCGAACATGATTCGGTTCGATTAAAAGGTTGGAATATTTTGGCCTAAATTTGACCATCGTGGCCTGTGTGCCATGCAGGCCCTGGCGTTTTATAAGCGATAGGGAACCCTTAATTTGTCTGCTGTCACAAGTTGTTGCCGTCCAAGCCCTTTGTTCATCACGCCTTATCTCCAAGCAGATCCTAGGGTAAATTTCATTGCTTGGCGCGTACAATAGTAGAGAAATCTCTGTTATAATAAGAAAGGTGAATTGGTATTGACACACAGTTGAAGCCGAGTCAATAAGGCTGATAAGGGTGATGCACTAGTATGTATGCGGCGTGGCACTAGCCTGGATGCCAGACCCATATACACATTAGTATAGTGTTATGGGTCTGGCATCCAGGCTAGCGTGACACATGTACAGAGAAGATAAAACTCACCTCAAGTGGCCGAGCATGACCTTCTGGCCCATTTCTTCGAACTCGTGCTCTTCTTACAATATCCTCGATTTGTTGTTGGGATATATCACTACAGCGCTCTTGATGGATGTCAATGCCATTGTCTTTTAAGCGCCTGTATATTGTAGCTCTGTCAACTTTGTATTTCTTCGCCACATCTGTTACTGTATAATCAAGGTCAGTGATTTCATGCAATACCTCTTTAATTGGTATGTCCTTACGTGGCCTTCCTGGCCCGTCCCCCAGTCTCACGTCTCCGGCAGGTGAAAAGGTCTCTGTGTGTTTTGGCTTCGGAAGTGCATGTCCTCGTTTTTTATTCCATGATTTGAGAAGGCTGCGGAGTTCTGTTGCCACATCGGAAATTCCTACCCTTATATATATTAACTCGTCATCTGGTGGCAGATTATGGCACGCTCTCTGTAGTTTTGTCGCCTTCGTGCAGAGAATAAATATCATTTCGATGAAAAGGTTTACTTCCATCAAGTCCGTTGTCTCATTTCTTCTTTCACAATCCCTCATGAGCCCATCCAATTGCGTCATGAATGTTCGAAAATTTGCTTCTGAAAGAAAAGAGAGTACATAATTCAGACCACTGAAGTGATGTTATCTTTCGGATATTCGCTTTCTATTGCCAACATAATTTTATGTCTTCGTGCTCGTCTACATAGCACGAGCGGTGGACGATCTTTTAGAATGTTCGCATGTGAACTCGCAGAACCACTCACTGACATTTTTAACACCTCACTGATAGCAGGTACAGTTCCAGCCCAGTGGAAGGAAGCAGTAGTCACGCCTATCCCCAAGGAACTGCCAGCAGTCATCGACAAGTTGCGTCCGATATCTCTGACTGCAATATTTGCGAAGATTTGCGAAGGCATCGTAGGAAAATGGGTGCTGTCAGACATATGGAACAACATCGACAAACGTCAGTTTGGGGGGATCAAGAGAAGTTCGACCAACCACTACCTGATTAGTCTCACCCACTTTCTCTACCAAGGTGCTGAAAGAAGCAAAAACGTGGGAACAATCCTATTAACGGACTTTACTAAGGCATTTGATACCATCAACCACCATCAGGCCATTTTGAAGCTACTTAACATGGAGACAAGACCGTCCATTGTGCCGTGGATAGTGGACTTTCTCACAGAAAGACGACAAAGAGTCCGGTATGGACAGTCACTCTCAGACTGTGAAACTCTTACCACCGGTGTCCCACAAGGCACAAAGTTGGGGCCAATCATCTTCCTCTGCATGATAAATGATGCCTGTCAATCACTCAATGATCGGTGGAAATACGTGGATGACCTATCGCTGGGAGAGAACAGACACAACTCCGAAGAATCCCACCTTCAAGACCAAGCTAACTCCCTAGCGGAGTGGTCTGAAAGTGCACAACTGAAACTCAACCCCGGAAAGTGCATGGTGTTCACAGTGTGCTTTATGAGGAATCCGAGTCCACCTGTACCCATCAGTCTTTGCGGTAACCCCCTAAGAACAGTGGAAATCGCCAAGGTGTTAGGTGTCTGGCTTCAGTCGAACCTAAAATGGGACACGCAAGTGAGTGAAACAACAAAGAAGGGCAACAAGCGACTGTTCATGTTACGCAGACTTAAATCATTTGGAGTCCCAGTGGAGGACCTTGTAACAGTGTACTGTGGCTTCATAAGACCGATCCTTGAGTACTGCGCGCCAGTGTGGCATCACGGACTTACCCGCAAACAAACTGCAACACTGGAACGAGTACAGAAACGTGCATGCCGGATTATCTTGGGTCAGAAGTATACAGACTACACCACGGGGCTGCAGATGTGCAAACTTGAAACACTTGAGAAGAGACGGGCGGTCCTCTGCACCAAGTTTGCACACAGCATGACAACATCGGAGCGCACAGCTGATCTCCTCCCCAACACACGGCGACAGGAGCACGGCAGGAACCTTAGAAACTCTAACAAAATGACATTGGCGCCTTGCCGCACTGCTAGATTTCAAAACAGCCCTGTACCATCTCTACTGAGTCTGCTTAACACGAACAAATAATACGTTGTAAATCAACCACGCTCAGATGCTTTGTTATTGTAATATTTTATTTTAATCGACATTTTAATACTATGTAATATTTTATGCTATTCGTCATGTTGAGTTGTGTCCTATGTAATTGAAACGTACTTTCATGTACTATGTAAGTAGAACGTATTTCAGCCTGACGGGCTGCAATGTTTTACCTAATAAACCAGTCATTCATTCATTCATCTTTCTAGTATAATAGTTTCTGTTATGACGATAGCGTTCTACTAACATGTTCCTCGTTCCTGTTCCTCAAATGTTTTTAACATCAGACTAGACAACTCACCACGTTTTCGAAAACTAACAAATAACTGGATCCAAATACATATATGTGTCTTGAAAAACGATAGTACCTCAAAATACGGTGTTGGGTCGGCAAAAATATAAATTTTGGAGCAGGTCAGAAAAATAAATCACAAGATTTCAAGACGGCGGTACATGTGCTACACGATCCCGACATGCAGAGCGTTGGTAGGTATAGTATGCTTACGTCAAACGTTGCAGTGATTGACGTCAATTAGCCCTAGAAACACATACAGTAGATATGGATCGTCTCTTCCATCTCTTCAATTGTCATACTCATAATCTGAATGAGGATGAATGACAGATGTGTAAATGCTGCAGGGCAAAAAAAACAAACAAAACTGAACACATACTAATGTACACAAATCAAAGTAAAACCATTAACAGAAGAAAGGTTTGATCGATCGAAAGTCCGATACTCTGTAGATGTTGAAATTGTTCATTCAATACTTCATACATACACCATATACCCATCTCTCCTAGCCAGAAGTGGAAATGGTGTCTCTCATGAGCCAGGAGACTTCTCCTGACCCATTTATAAGTGGAAGATGGTGGCCACCATGTTCCACTTATTATAAGTGAAAATGGTGCTTGTATCGGGTGACTTCCCAAAGTAGCGCATCCTGTCCTCATTGAGGGAGACGAAGTCTGCCGCGATGGCACGCAAGTCCATAGTGTCCGAGTGTACGGGTTGCTGTATTGTGATCTGCTGTATATAAAGTCTGACATATAAATGGTGTAATCTTATAGTTACAATGGTCTAGTTTCGGATCTAAGTTACAGGAGTGGTATCTACAAAGGCTATGAACTACAAGGAGCTAATACAGTGTGTGTGACTAACCTGAAAGCCTGGTCTCGAACTGAATCCAAACGCAAGCGGGCTAACTAATATCGTATTACTGACGCTGACTGCTCTTACCAGTCATTGGCTAATCTAATGAGCACGTAAATGAGCTAAGAAGCTAAGGATCTAAATCTGGCCACTAAGCACTTCGTCACCGGCCCATAAAATCATTGACAGTTCAGGCCTGTTACAGCACAATACCATGCGTCTGTAGCTTTAATAGTGTTGTTAGTGTGAGGCTAGACAGTCAGAATAGGGGTTTCTGTTGCATGTATTGTTGCCACAATGTTTGCTTCTTCCCTTTATATAAGCTGCGAACTTCCCAATAGTTTGGAGCACAGCGTTTAAGAATGAGGAGGGTTGTAGTGAAATATGTTTACGTTTGCTCGCCAATGCTGTGTAGAACGACGTTTTGTAAAACCCTAAAGCAGCCTCGCGGCTTTTGCCTTGCCCCACCCAACATCCCCCTCCAGACAGAATGTATCAATTCGCCGCCATAAAGTAGTGTGAGGCAGACTGTACGCGTCTGCAGTGACGGTATGCCAAATTTGTAGTTAAATAAGTTTGTAGTTAACACATACTGGTAGAAAGACTCCAAGTCGTGGCGGTGTGAACTCTCCTTTTGCTCTTTATCTAGTTTTTCGACCCTCCAGACGTCTGAGCGGATGGATATAATTAGAATGCTGCGATCATCTGCAGAGTGAGGCGTCAGTGCAGGGCGGCCATTGTGAGGTAAGGTTCGTCGTTCGCTTGTCTGAGAATTTTTCCAAGAAAACATGTAATTTTCGCCTAGAAAGTCTGTTTCGGTGTGCATTAGGGTTTGTAGGTGTCACTGGTAAGGGCGCGTTCTTTTCATGAGGGTTGCTCACGGCGTTCAGCCCATGACATTGCCTAAAAAAGAGAAAATAATTTCTGGCGTGGCTAACGTAAACACCTGCCTACTGCCTAAACACATGTACTGTGAAATTCTCGCTAATGCGTTTGAAGTAGCCTTTGTTGCTTTCTGTACTAAAAGTAAAACTCAATGTATACTTGTGGGTTATTTTAGTGCGTGTACACGCCAGTTTGTTGCATTTTGGTTCTTTACGTTTACTGATTTATTTATTTACTGCAGTGAGCACAAATAGCTGAGATGCACAGACAGAGAATTGTTCATTGGAATACGCTAGCCGTCACTCCAGTGCTTATTTCGTCGTTATCATGAATTTGAGAACTGTAAAGGACATAATTCAGTCTGGTATCGGCTGCCTATTCAGTATATTCTTTTAGCATTTTTTGGAGATCTCTGACTACAAGAGTCGACTAAATTTTTATCAGAATGTATTGGTATGTGGACATTTGGCTATAATCATGCACATGTTGAATTGTTATTGATATTTTATGCCATTGAAGTAATTAAGATGTTTTCTTTTACATGTTGAACTAATGTTTTTATAGTACTCTCATGTCCCTAATAAACATACCCCCCGGAACAAACATACCCCCTGGACAAATCTTCAAAGTCTAATAAACATACCCTCCGGAATAAACGTACCCCCCGGAAAATGACCAAATTAACAGGTGAACTGTGTGTCCATGATACTAAAATGTGCTCTTTATTTCAATACCAATATATGGGCAAATCTTTCACTGTTACATTTAATTAGTGAGTATATATCACTTTAATTAATGAGTATATATATATTGTACTTGTTTTGGGGAAATACAAAATCCGTAGGAGAAGCTATTGCATTTTACACTTCTGAAATGCACTTTGCTAAGCCTTCTCCTGCAACTTGAGTTGAAAATCTGACTAACTTAAGAGATAGAAAATCAAGCCCAATTAAGTACAAATATAGGGGTTTAATGAGTATATGTACAACAAAATCCATTTCAACATAATAATTATTTGGTATGGTACATTGTCTAGTCTGGTCAAAGTCTGGATTCTGAAGAAGAAAAACTTCTGAAGAAAAAAACTTTTGAAGAAAAAAAATATTATTCAGCATAAAATTTTGATTGGTTTCCATCTCATTGTTTTTTTTAAAATCGATAATGTGATTGTATCAATTTTAAACGCCCTA